TTATAACTTTTTATAAATTGTGTTTTGATCATAAATAATGATATGTTTTCTATGCTGTATTCACGTGGCGTTTCCATATCCCCCAAAACCAAATTTTGCTGAGGTAACATGTCCAAAATAAAAAACTCAGTACATTGTTCGAGATTGTTATTCTATGCTGCCATCGTGTGATTGTTAGTGGGCTGTGAGAGTAAACATGTGCAAACAATGCAAAGCTTTGATGTGCAAAGGGCACCAAGGAGTATTCATTATTCAACAACATGGAACGTGGGCTGGATCCCAATAAGAAGGTTTTGTATATGATAAGGATCTAGAGTTCTTAGAAAATAATCCTCAACTGTTAGTAGGATATAATGAAGAATTGCAAGGAGAAAAAGATTATGAAATGTTAGATGTGAATCAAGATAACCGAGATTCGATATTAGAATCGAGGTTTAATGAGAGAAACATTTGTGTTGAAAAATCAAGAGAAGCTTGGATGCAAATAGAAAAAATGGCATCGAATAGTGATAGCATAGTGCAGAGCACACTAGCTGTGATGAACAGATTTTTGCATGACTTGAAAGTTCAAGAGCAATGTCAATTAGAAACAGGAGAGTACACATTCACAACAATCGACATGTTCATCAGACCAAGTGGCTTGACATTGAAAAAAAGATTGGGGATGGTTGACAAGTATAATGGCGCAAAAAGAAGCAATTCAATTGTAAAAAACTATCTTGAAAAAAAATGTCGTCTGATACAACCGAGAGTTTTTTTGGTAAGTGTTTTTTAACATGCATTGAATTGAATTGTTTATAATATATTTGGATGTATGTATTAGTTTTGTCTTTGAATTTATTCATATATTTATTGCAACTAATGTATTATCACTTGTGAAAACTTGCAAGATTTGGATCACACATCAAAAATTAGAGTATTAGAGATCGGAGATGTTATTAGTGATGACAATATTCTTCTTGATGTTATTCCAGAAGTTCGGGGAAAAAAAAGAGAGACAATTAGGAAGGAGTTGTTCAGACGTAGCACTCAATTGCGAGGAAAACGTAAAAGTAGGAAACCACAAACTGATTTGAATAGAATCTCTTTACCTGCAACTAGAATTTTCATGCCAAAACGTCTAGGCAGAGAGTTTTCTGTTGGTACAAATATGATTCATCTAAATGATTATCAAGTGTAATGAACTGATTGATAATTAGATTTCATAGTGCTGGATCAAAGCTTCTTCTTTTTAGAAACAAGTGTGATTCTAGATTGTGAGAATTATTCAGAGAGATCATTTGTATTCTAAAAAGAAAAGAGATATAATTCTATTTGTGTACTGTTCAGGGGATTATTTATCTTTCTATCCAACTGCGCATCAATGAACTAATGTGTGGTTTCATTTTAAATTTTGAGTTCCTAGTACAAGTTATTGAGGGTATTTCTTTTGCACTTTTCTCTCTAATATTTCCGACCTTGCACTTTTCCTCATAGGGCAAGGTGTTCTTTGTATGCTCCTCTATTGGATGTGGTAGCATATTCTGTTATGAGTCCGTAGGTGTCAGCTTTGTCATTCTCTTTTGTATCTTGTCAAGTTACTGGATCGTTCAATGGTAGTTGGATTGTGGACGGGGTTGTGTATGGCAATCTTTTTGGTCTCCTTGGCAATCTCCTTGTTCGCAGAAGTAAGGAGCTATGACAGAGACTCTAGTAGGCATCACTACCTACTACTTTTCATGAGAGTTGTTCAGCTCCCTCTTTTCTTCTCGCTTGGCAGTCTGTAACTCTGTTCAGTACAGTAGTGCAAACCATGACCAAGGCTCCGATCGAAACCAATCTCTTCCCCTCTTATGACATACATTCTTTTTTCGTTTGTGAGCTTTCACTTGTGAAGTGCTTGCGGTTCCGGGGAACTCATTCAAAGTTGTACTGTAGCAGGGTCATGATGGTTTCTTACCTAGGTTGAGGCTGGAAATTATAGAAACGTAGTTTATTTTGATCCGAAATTACAGTTTTTGATCGTACTTTTACCTAGGCTTGTATTGAGATGATGTAGTGATAATCTAGTGATAATCTAGTGGCTACCGTGCTCAGTATATGGAGTCTAGCAGGAGATATTTTGCGTCACTTATTGAACGATACACAAGGCGAGACTTTTCCTGCTCCTCTTTTGCCAAAGAATTTTGGACGGGACAGATGAATGTGCCAAGGTCAGGGCTGGTCATTTTTCTGTTGCACAATATCTCTGCTGCAATGTGTTCCGCATTATGGATTCGTCATTAGAGCAACTTGAAATTACTGTTGTGAATTACCAGCTGGTTTTGCTGGGAAGTGAAAGAAATGATGGCATGTGAAGCAGATTTCTTCATTCACTTGGCGGAAATGTCGTACTTTCAGCCGGATCATTAATCTTGTAATTTGCCTGTATTGAGAACTGTAATATGCATGGATATTTCTGTTGCTTATTCTCCTCTGCTATACTCGGAGGTTCTCTCACACCTATACATGTGATACATTGATTTGTACACCCATCTAAATTCATCAAAAATTCCTAGAATCCACTCGATTATGTTTGCCGCTATCGAAAGAATCTGGTCTGAAAATTGATTTTGAAACTCTGAGAATTGTTATGAAACGCTCTCGACACATCATTAAATCTGACAAATTTGTATAAGCTTCGAATGCGTGCTTACAGTTTTGTTTCCAGGATTACTTTTTGACTCCACAAAATGAGATGTCTTCTACCGAAAGTACCATAACAAAAATGAGTTATCGAATGACTAGCATTAGCAGCATTGGCATCAGCAGCATTGGCAGCAGCCACAGATGAGACAACAAAAAAAAGTCCCTCTCAACTTTTCGACCCAGAAACGCATATACTCGCGTTTGCATTGCAGGCACAAATAAACTCTTCTGCCTTGAGGTTTCTTAGTCTTTTTAGTGGAGATTTGGTATTTGAGCAGCAAGATAATCTGGTCGTCACAGCCTCTCGAGCATGTGAGCGATTGCGGTGGAGCCATAGTCGGTCAGACATCTACAATTCATGCAGTAGTAGTGGTAGTAGAGTAGTAATTGACAATGGGATGCTGTTGCTGCTGTGCTGGCGAGGCCCACTCATTCAGCTCATCTCATCTGATCAATGTCATCTCAACAAATGCTCGGCTCGGCTCCGAACCACTTCCCTTCCCTCACCCCATCCACTAACATCTCGCTGCTGCTGGACATCGAGTACTGAATGATCTACCCCACACACCGATCCTGATAGGGACTTAACGAGCAAAGTCGAATTTCACCCACTGCCATGAGCCCATTAATACGAAACTCTATGAAACTTCTTCCCCTGTGAAACACATCTCACTACATCCCTCCCTCCCCCTTTGAAACATTACTCTATTTTGTACTCGTGTTATGTCCTTCCTGTCTTCCTGTCTACTACATGATGGCCTCCCTTTCCCTTTGCCCCGACCTGGAGGGCATGGTGAGCCGTGGGTTGCCGAATCAATGGCTTTTCTGCAACGCGAGTCGCTTGTTGAATAGCCACGAGCAGCAGCAATACGCAGGCCGCTCTGCTCTCGTGCTGCTCACTCGGCCTTCGGCTTGTCTTGGCTCAAGCCGGGCCGGGCTCGCGGCGCTTTGCATCGCGCCGACACGTGTCTCCCATCGGTGCACATGTGTTGAATTTGAATACCAAAGGGTGCCCTCTCGACGGGTGACTTCTTGAGGCGACGGTGTAAAAGGAGAGACTGTCACGACGGTGACCGTATGCCGTCAGCGCACAGTCATACGGTCGGGGTTGTTCTAGCCTGCAGTCTACCAACGCGCAGACCGCTGTCATCTTCGAGGTTGGTATCTGTTTTTCCCGCCCTCTTTGTGCAATTCCTTAGTGGGGAGGATTCCTTTACTGAAGAGAATGACTCATTGGAATGACTCATTCCTCTTCATTGGTTATTCCGACTGACCAATTCCGAGAATATCCCGTTTTAAGTGGGCGAGTTGCAACACATCTTCTATTTCTTAGGGCCTAGCCCATGTTTTAACTTTAGTTTCACCTATCAAATCAGAAATGATGGATATTCCATCCTTTTTGTTCTTGGGCTTTTTTCTTCTTCGCTATTAGCCTGCCAGACTAGAATCAGAGAGCTACGAAGTGAATAAAGTAGATAAGTAAATAAGTAAATACAACCTCATTTTGCAAAGAGATTACTTGAATCTTGTATGTCGTATTAACCGCAGTTCGTCTGCCAGCCGAAGGACCATGTCATTTCGCACTGATATGCGGCACATCGTGTCAGGCAACATGATAGCTACCCTCAATATCGATCTGTATCTACTCATTCTGTCGTTCATGGTGGGTGTGTTTTAGGCGGGTGAAGTTCTTATAATGGACTCTTGCGTCTACAGGAATCTCTAGAGAAAGTGTCTTTCTTCTCTGTCCCGAAATACTGCTTCCACTGGGTAGTCTTGTAAAATTTCGCATTGTCTTGCTATTGTCTCGCTTGTCAGGTCATTGGCATGATTTGAGCCAAGAAGTGTTGCAAAACTCGGCCCATCTTCCGTGCTGTTCTCCACAGAATTATCATTGCACTGTGTTTCGTGTTCCCCGTTTCTTAATTTTTCCAGAGCAGGGTCTTACTACGTAATATGATCAAGAATATTTGGCAGTTTCTCTCACCCGTTCGTTTGCGACGGTGATCTTGGGTGTGTAGTGGGAGTTTTCGCATCCCGACGTGTGCCTAGTAATATTCGAAGTTCTCGTAGTGGAAAGGTTGTATGATCATGTCAATTTACCGTGATCGACTGCGTCGATCACGGTAAATTGACCTGAATCCATGACCTTAAGGTCATGGATTCTTCAGTATTCAATACATCATAAAGTACTTCCTTTTAGCTCCTTTTGATTATCATCCCACGTAGTCACTCAATTGTGCTTCGACTACGACATTCGTGACCGTTCGTGGTTGTCATGAAGAGTTATGGTAGACTCAGTATGGATTTTGCGTTTCTAACTTTGTTTAAATATTATCAAATGGACGTATGATACGGATCGCGCTGATTATTATGATGGATGTGCGAACGGCTGAATCTAACACATCTAATCGACAGGGCACCTTCCGAATTTAGTAAAGTTGGATGAGTGGCCAAGACTCCTGCACGAGGGTGTGGTGGAGCCCGGACATCTACTGGAGGTTTACATGCCTCGTGCAGAAGGCTCTATGCAACACAATGGTTAAGGGTTGGCGGAGTATCGATCAGAAGAGAGTGCACGATAGGCCCTGAACTTGTTATCAGGTCGGATTACATTTTACAATCGGGTTCCCCGCCTTCCAGTAATGCCGCCGGCATTCATCTTCCATTCCTCATTATCAGGGTAGCGTCCGCTTCGCTTTCCTCATTCTCTGGATACTTACCTGTCGGTGCGGCTGGCTCTGCCATCTCTATATTCTCCGAGGCCCATCAAACCTGCTGCTTACCTGGCGGTGTTGCCTGCTGTGCGATCTCTTCGTCCTCCGAATAACTTAGAAAACATACTATTCTCAGTAAAATAACCCCAATCATCACTTGAGATAGTCTTGTTAGCTTCGGGAAATTGCTGTTACCTTTGACTGATAAGTGTCACGATTCCTCTAACAACGCCCTCCGTGTTGTACTTGAGTTCAAAAAGTTGCTGGTAGCTTCCAACAATTAATCTTAAACAAAGATCTTAATTATCACATGCCGAGATTATTACTTCTGCAAAAAGGCCAGCGACTTGATCAACTTTAAAGCCTTTGCTCTGTACTGCGTTGTACTGCGTGTCTGTAGTATATCCCAATAAACTTAATTTCATCTTATAGGTATTACACACTCTTTAGTTCTTACCATGGTGATTTGTGAATACTAATTAGCTGGCACACACTCCAAGTACAGGATGCTTTTAGACCAGATGGGATCATATTTATGCTTCTTCATTTCGGGTTAGAACACTACAACTGGTAACAACAGGAAACTTTGCCGGGTAAATTTTTGTATATAGCACTTCATCTGACGTGAGTCAGTGTAATCTAGTGTTAAGCTAATCTAGTTTTCAGGAGTACTGTATCCCATGCTTCAACAAATCAATCCATAACGGGAAGAGAAGGTCCACTCACTACTTTCCAGCGATTGAAGAAAGGAAACAAATTGCTGATCTTACTCCGACACCGGACCTTCATCTTATCGAGAATCGCCAAGAGAGAAAACAACCAAACGCCAGAGACAACGGCCAATTCAAGGCAGGTTATGCATCTCAGTAGCGAGGTCAAGATTCGTGAGAAAGATAAATGACACATCATAGACATAACTTCTACTAACAGCAGTGCATCAGAGTAATACGGATGGTATGAGAGCGTAAAGACCGGCTGAGTATGGAGCAAAGTTTGCTAAGGCTTTTTCAACAAGCGGAGGTTTTGAATCGCACAGAGGTTGGCTACCGTCTACTTGTGGCTACTTGGCCGGTGTAAATGAACAGGATTGTTACTACGTCTACCCATGGCAGCTTGGCGACTGCGTCAGGTTTTCTGAAACATTCCTGTGAAGCAAGATGTACGCAAAACCCTTTGAAAAGTGCAAACTACAACTAAAAGAGGAAAAACGTAGTCATGTGTGCAAAGCCAAAACATCTTCCGAAATTACAAAAGGAAGCAATCACTGCGGAAACAAAACTAAATGAACGGGGCTGGATGCCCGTTACTACCGTCAGGTATCTCGTTTACTTTACCAGTCAACTGGTAAAGGCAGCTTCTCCACGTTCTTACTCTCATGATATTTCCACAAGGAATCCCAAGTTTCAAGAGCAACTGAAAGATCTTAACCTTGACATAGAAACATACGTCTACAAAATATCTCATAGGCCTATATACACCAATTTTCAGCAAACACTGGCCAAAAGCACTCACACCTGTTTACACATTCGTCCTCTAGGTATGACATACCTGAATTTTGCAACTTTTTGTCACCAGATATAGGAGAGTCGAAGAAGGTTTTGCGCTCCTACTGACTTCGCCAAAAGTGGAAGGCTCCTTGTAACTTTAAGTAGAACAGCCACAGGCCCACTTTCCAGACATAAGATATATACAATACGTCGTTATCCGAAGCAAGCTTGCTTGAGCGATAAAAATGCTTCCTTGACAAGAGTGTATCATGCCTGTGGTCATCATAAACAAGTAAGAAGAATAAACGGAAATTCCACAATCTAGAGATCCTCAAGACAGAATATAAAAACACGGGGTGGCAGAACTGATTCTTACAACAGAACATGTAAGTGTAATAAAAACTCTCAGTAGCATGAGTTCACAGAAAAGACGAAATGCTACCTGACACAGGATATTCCTTTCCCACCATTGCTGCACGCAATGCCTCATGAGAAAGAGAACAAAACTAACTGCACTCACGGTCGGTGGAGAAAAGACAGGTTGAAAATATACGAATTCATAAGTCTTTTGGCAAGTAAATAACACACCCTCGGTCCTGGACTTCCAAGCAGCTACCCATATTTCGCCGAATAGATATGTAGAGGACTCTCCTGATTAGAGTTCCCCATCCACTTGTCTTCTTGTCAATACGTTTCTTAGAGACCGAAAGTTGGTAACACACTTAGCCGCAAGGGTCAGGTTTGTCGCTTCCAATCAGATGGAGCATATGACTTCCTTCAACTAGTCTGGTAGTCTAGCCCTAGCATATAATTCTTAATTGCACCATCCAAGGTGAAGTATCTATATCCCCACAACGGTTGTGATAATGGGACGAACTTCAGGTGGTGACTTTCAAGATTTCACATCTGTATGAAAATTTCCTACACATTCATGTTCTACAATGGACATTTGAAGCTACAAAAGACTTTCGCAGCTACACATCCTCTCCGCCCAGCCATAAAACAGTAAGCATTCCTAGAAGCTCAAGGCAGACTACTCGGTTATACATCTTGGAAAACTGAATTATCATAAGGTGAACCGAAGAATGCTCAACCCTTCGAAAGGTCCAATCTTGAAAGAGATAAAAATCTTCACATAGTTTGAAGTGAACGACTTATCATCTTGATGTAACCCTGATGAGCCTCTAGGAAACATGCATTCTAGGAACAGACAGAACTCCTCGAAGACAGCTTATCGACTACTAGGAGTTCACATAATTTAAAAAATCTTCTCAAGGAAGAACGACCACACAAAGTAGAGGGATTGCCTTAGCAGATATCCAACTACTAAAGTACTTGAATCTGAGATCAGTATACAGAAAATTAACATTAAAAGAATGCGCCACCGAAGGAGAATGTTTTGAAGTTATTATGAAACGGGGCAGCCAGGTGTATAAATCTAAGGTGCAAATGATCAAACCCGAAAGATGATTGATGGGATCTAAATCTGAACACAAACTAACTCTGCAAAACTTAATAGATTCAAATCCCCCAAAAAAACCGTAATGTAATAGCTTGTACAAAAACAAAAAAATGGACGATGCCAGCTCATCTTGGTTATAAGTTTTTCGGGAAAGTTCCTGCAAGATATTCTTGGTGCCATGTGACACTTGTCCAAAACTTAAGTCAACCACAGAAGGTGACAACCGTGGACAAGCTCTTCCTTCACGCAGATTTGACGCCAAAAGAGGATACTCCGGAATCCCAGGGGGAAGATCAGTAATCAGGGCAGAAGACCTGAGTATACTGGCTCTCCACCTAAAGATATGGTACTAAAGTAGAGTGCACGTAGAGGCTCCATTCATACCCTCGTTGAATTAAATAATGAGTACTCAGTACAAGTGCCTTCAAGTCTGGCGCCTTAGTAGTATCCAGCGGGACAGTATTGAAGAATTGGAGACCTAATCGGCCTAATATGAAGGCAAGGTCAATTCAGACGTCTAACATTTGTAAAATAATGAACCATCTCCAAGGGTATAATGTGGAACAGATGAAGCAATCTGAGGTTACCCAGTAGATGAGGCAACTTCGATGGACCAAAACTTTGAGTATAAACCAGAGTGGACAGTATGATACATATGATACACTCAACCATCAACGTCTCCATTGATGGAAAATTCTTTCGCTGCTTCTCTACTTCGTTTAGCTCTAATTTAATCCAACAGATAGCATTATCTTGCAAAGGAGGCGGATTGGGCATATGCATGACCCATGAAGTTCGCCCGAACACCCCACTGACTTAAATGAGTTAAATGGGCATTGTAATATTGTGCATGAGTTGGTGGAGTTAAGAAGTTGTCTGTCTTCACCATGTCCTGACCTCCATACCCTGCTCATCAATGAAAACCCCAAATATTATAAGTTGTGACCATTAGAGCTAAATCGGCACGGTGGTTCTCGTGGACGGAAGACTCTAGAAGTTAAGTCTAGATCTTCAGTTCGAGAGACGACTAAGGTCTGAATCCAAACTAAGTCTGGATGGCTGCGGGCGTCTTCCAACCCTCATATCCTTTTCCCACACACTACTACTAACGCTCCGTATTACAAACCACCGAAATAAGTGAAGTTAGAAACGTCAGGGTAAGTGCAGAAGTCAATATTTTGCCGCGGTTCGCAAAGACAACGACTACAGCGTAACTTATCCGTAAAAAGGGCAGTAGAGTTGAGGTCACAATGACAGAGGGTTATTCGGCATCCACTTGTAAAAAGAAGGAAAAAAGGAAAGACAAAAGTCGACTTGCCACGGCACGAATATCTAAGTTTGGAACCTAGCCGATGCATTGTCTACACAAAGAACTCCACAGTACATTTCAAACACTGGAGTTTGCAGCGTCATCTACTCATTTCATCCGAGATTAGTATCTTATATCGCACATAAAGCCTATATGGACAAATAAAGTGAAACTAGGTCGGCTAGCAAAGCAAGAAAACATCTTATCATGTATACATGAGGATAGGTAAACACTTACCTGTTGAGCTAGAAGGATATTGTTCAGAGGCATGAGTCTGTGAATAATAATTTTGACAGTAACCCTTAACATCACGTGCTCGGCACGGAGTACCTGGACCTGAGTCCTCTACCAAAGGATGAATAGGCTTGTCCACGATGGAGACGCGGTTAGATGATTTGTCTACGCCGGCTCCTGATTGGGGTGATTTTCCTCCTCCAGATATCTATTAGCAATTTTCCACATCAAATTGAATCACTGCAATGCCTCGAGCAAAAGAGAAGCATGGCTACGGTCAAAGTAGGTAAAACAGATGGCAGAACCGGCGTCACCGCCAGCAAAGTAATCTAAGAATGGGAAAAGGTAAGTGGATTCTGGTAGCAACCAGTCAAGCTGACAACCTACCGCGAAGCGCAGGGTTCGATTAAACAGTGTAACAAGGCCTGAGAACAAGTTCAAGGCATATTGTGCACTCTCTTCTGATCGATACTCCGCAAAACCATAACCTTTGTGCCGCTTAGATTCTTTATCACGAGGCAAGTAAACCTCTACCAAAGGTCCAGCCTGCACCATAATCTCGTAGAGCAATCTCTCGTCCACTCTCTCATCCAAATTCCCTAAGATTGACGAATACTCCTCCAATTAGAAGTGTACAATTTCGATCTCGCTCGACTAAATTATTACTGTTCAATAAGTTAAACACTAGGAACCCAAACCAAATATATGACTTGGTTCAAAAGAACAAGTGCAGTTCCAACGGTCAAGAACAATCAAGAAGGAACGAGAAAACAAAGAATAAATCCGCGTTGCGAACATCAAAGCTCGCTACTACAAAACGCAGTCACTCTAAAATGAAAAGGTTTGATACTGCAGGGAGTAAGTGTAAAGATCAATCCCATAATTAAGAATCCACCAACCGCCCTCAAAGCCCAACCTTGCAAAGTCGTGATGGCTTGCTCGACAAAATGACTACTATGATTTCCGGTTTATTGAAACAATGCCGGTTCGTGACAGAACTCTAACCAAAAATAACACCGTGGACACGGGATCGAAACCCTAAGACCATGGGAGGAAACCTTCAGGGAACAAGATTAAAGCGAGCCTCTTAGATCCGGTGCGAGCTGTTTTCAGATGATTTTGCACCTGAAACTCTTCGCAACAGCGAGTGATTGCATCTCGTATACAGGGGTGCCCACGGAGCAGGCAATCAAAGGTATGAACAATGAGGCGTAAACATCCTGATGCAGGACACAAGAACAATCATGAAGCAAATTGTGCATGGACCACCAGGTAAGGGGACAGCGATGGCTGGCCTCCTTGTAGACTGTATAAAGCTAGAACGGACAATAGCGATCTGATAGGCATTGAGACTCGGCACACACTTTTGAGATTACAAGATCCCATCGACAGGAAAAACACCCACCTAGAACCTACCGAGCCAGACCGACGAAACTAGTAGACACTCACCGATATAGAGGGTGGCCTGCATGTTGCTTGACATGACGACGTGCTGCAGATCAATGCGAAAGGAGATGGTCCTTCGAAAAAAGAAAAACAGCGACGAAGGAGACAGACCAGATTCCCACAAGCACTCCGCTACGAGCTCGTGATTCACTTGCCCCGATTCGACGACGGCGGTATGTGCAAATTTCAAAAACTCCAGATGGCGACGACACTTGCACGCCAAGTTTTGAAAACAAGATCGTCGATCGAAGCGTCCCGGACCGGTAAACTGAGCAACGTTTGCCACAAAAAACAGAAACTTCACCCGCGGCACGGGACCCAACGTGGAACAGCTCACTCGACACGCTGCGAATCGTAGGAACGGCGTCGCAACCAAAACATGGCAAAATCAATTCCCGGCTTCTCGGCGCAACAAAATCCTCTCGACGCTACGGTCCGCTTCCGATCTCTAGAGTATTCTACATCTAACCCTGCGGCCCTAACCTTAACACGCAGCAACCGTCCGATCTCGAGATCGCCCTCTGACTTGACCCCTGGTTCCTGTCCTGCACTCCTTGACCGTCCGAAATAACTCCGTCCAGCTCATGCTCTGACTCGGCTCTCGGAGATTGCTTGCGTGGGACTGTATCTTACCTGTCTAACTCACCTGGTCACTACGTATTTTAGTACAGTATTTCCTCCTACTGTATCTGGCATATCATCGCATTGGGTCAAGTGAAAACATATACAAGAAGTAGACTTTCTTGTTCAAGAGCATTCTGATCATCTAGTTCTAGCATTCACACTAATTTTAGCTCAAATGTCACACTAAGTACGATTTGATGGGGTTTACCCGTATTTCTTTCTCCGCTTGGAACTTGTTTAGATGGAAAAACCATCTAGACATATACTAACCTAAGCAGGCTGAGATGCATTCAATAGTATGCTCTAGATCTTCTTTTGCACCCGTGATCCCTCCATGAATGGAAGCACTCCCCTGAATACTTGTACTCATCGTAGTCGCTCCTTATGTATGTCACCGTTTGAACTTTGTACTCAGTTTTCGGTATTACTAAATCCCGCTCAATCGTCATTGATGAGTCACGAGATTACTTCACAATGTTGGTCAATTCTTGCGATCGTATCTCCATTTATGCGTGTGAGACACATAGCATTAGCGTTTCATAAGATGCAGATATAAATGCACGGTAAGACTTACTATTTTGATATATGAACCCATTGGCGAACACCCGGTTAGTTACAAACATTTATGTTGATCATGAATTAATTAATTATTTCAGCCACTCACCCCGACGGAATATTTTGTTTGCACTTTCGAGTGAAGCAAGCGGGAGCCAATCATTTTTTTAGTGCTGCAATGTTAACGTTAGAACTCAGAACCACTCATCATTCAGTTACACTGATACCAGATACACAAGAGTATAATGTGGTTCACCCTCAAGTGATACGTCCAAGGAGAGAAGAGTACTAGAGAGTTTTACTGCTCGAATATTTGAAGTGATGTAATTCCTATCACATTAATGGTATATATACTCAAGGTATTTAAACACTCTAAGCTATAAATAGCTACATATGCGGTTAACCTTGGTTAACTAACCTCAGTTAAGTCCTTACCCAGAGTTAACATCAACAATCTTACACTTAACTCGCGTTAAGTAATCTCAATAACCTCTCTAACCTATATTATCACTCAGCGGAAAGTTCTAGACAGAATCCTGACTGAATGTCTCTCTTTAAACGAGAATTAACTGGAACTAAGCCGTAGCCATTACATGATAGAGTAATAATATACATAGGTAACTCAACAATCTCATCTTAACTCATGTCAAGGAATTTCAGTCACCTCTCTAACCTATATTATTACTCTCATATCAAGATAGAGTAATAATATTTAGAAAATAATATACTATATAATATACACTCAATATAATATCTGTCGGTGCGGTTGGCTCTGCCATCTCTATATTCTCCGAGGCCCATCAAACCTGTTGCTTACCTGGCGGTGTTGCCTGCTGTGCGATCTCTTCGTACTCCGAATAACTTAGAAAACATACTATTCTCAGTAAAATAACCCCAATCATCACTTGAGATAGTCTTGTTAGCTTCGGAAAATTGCTGTTATCTTTGACTTATAAGTGTCACGATTCCTCGAACAACGCCTTCCGGTTGTACTTGAGTTCAAAAAGTTGCTTTAGCTTCCAACAATTAATCTTAAACTCATGTCAAGGAATTTCAGCCCCTTCTCTAACCTATATTATTACTCTGCGGGGAGTTCTAGACGGAAACCTATCACAAGGTTTCTCCATTACTCATTATCAGGGTAGCGTCCGCTTCGCTTTCCTCGTTCTCTGAATACTTACCTGTCGGTGCAGTTGGCTCTCTCTCTCTTTAAACGAGAGTTAACTAAAACTAAGCCGTAGCCATAAGAGTATAGAGTAACAATATACAGAGTTAACTAAGAACTATATCTCTCGTGCTCCCTATGCACAACTTGCATAGTAACATAGTGTCACCTGAAACTCTCCAGAGAAATAACTTTGGTTAACGCATCACCTGGATTGAGTTTACCGTCAATCTTGACTAGCTCAATTGTTTTATCAGACACTGCTTGTCTAATAAAGTGATATCTTATGTCGATGTGTTTCACTCTGCTATCCATAACTTGGTTTGCAGCCAAATGTAAAGCACTCTGGCTATCACAATGAAGATTTACCACGCTTTGTGTTAGTCCCATCTCCATGATAAGCTTATTCAACCAAATAGCTTCCTTTGCCGCTTCTGCTGTTGTCACGTACTCAACTTCTGTTGTTGACTGAGCTACGCATTTCTGCAAGGTAGATCTCCAACTAATGCTTCCGCCGCCAAGTGTAAACACATATCCAGTTGTAGATCTCCTCTTGTCTAAATTTTGTCCGTAGTCAGCATCAACGTAGCCAAACAAGGACTTGACATTGTCTAATAAGCCATCAAACAATAAGCCATAATCCACAATACTCTTCAGATATCTCAAAATCCATTTCACTGCTTCCTATTGAACTTTCACTGGATTCGACATGTACTTGCTCATCTTGCCCATTGCTAGAGCAATATCAGGCCTAATGCACACTATTAAATACATGAGGCTGCCTACAGCTTGTTTATATGGAACACATGACATTCTTTCCTTTTCCACAGCATCTGTATGACATTGGGTTGCGGAGAGTTTAAAATGTGCCTGCAGAGGAGTCCATACTTCTTTCGAATCGACCATGTTGAACCTGTCAAGTATACGGCGAACATACTTGCCCTGACTCAACCATAGCTTCTTCTGTTCAAAATCTCTATAAATATCCATGCCTAGTATCCTTCTTGACTTCCCCATATCCTTCATCTTAAATGCAAACTTCAGTTGGCTCTTGCATTCATCAACATTGGATTGGTTCTTTGCCAAGATAAGCATGTCGTCAACGTAGAGTACTAAAATGATGAGATTGAAAGTCTCATCATTCACCTTCTTCATATAGACACAAGGATCATACACGCTTCGTAGAAAACCTTGTGACTTCATAAACTCATCAAAACGTGTATTCCACTGCCTATGAGCTTGCTTCAGTCCATACAATGATTTCAGTAATCTACAGACCCACCTCTCTTGGCCTTTGACCTAAAAGCCAATTGGTTGTCTCATGTAGATCTACTCCTCTAAATATCCATAAAGAAAAGTTGTAACCACATCCATATGATCCATAACAACAACTGAATGTTGCAGTCAGTGCACATACCAGACGAATTGTAGCGTATTTTCCTACAGGCAAAAAAACTTCGTTATAATCCACACCCTTTTACTATGTGAAACCACTAGCCAGCAATATAGCTTTGAAGATTCTTGCCTCATCTCCTGCTAGATTGTCTTTCAGCTTGTACACCCACTTGGAGTCAATCACTATCTGATTTTTAGGAAGCTCAACCAACTCCCAAGTCTTGTTGTCAATCAGTGATTGCATCTCCCGCTCCATAGCAGCATTCCATTCAAGCTTGTTGACCGAAGCTAGAGCTTCTCTATATGAAGAGGGTTCATCCTTTTCCAAGATCAACGCCATACCATCCTCATCTTCAAAATCAAGGTCACGATATTTGAGAATAGAGGAATTGGCCCATACACCAAATCTCTCACGCGCTATACTATATCGTTGTGATCTCCTAGTATACGTTTCCGTTTGATCTCTGTCGTCTAGTATTGTTGCAATAGGCTCACCAACAAAAGCCTGCTCATGTGGTTCTTGTTCCTCAAGAACTTGCTCCACATGTATCAGTGCTTCTTCATGTAACATATCATTAGTGATAGAATGATCATACTCCCCCACAACAATATCAGTGAGTAAAGATTTCCCCTTGTTAGCCTCCACATTCTCTCCCTCTTTCAATAAGCCAGGCTCATTGAAAGAAACATCTCTACTAACAATCACCTTGCAGGCAACAGGATCTCATAGCCTGTAAACTTTCACGCCACTAGCATATCCAAGAAAACGACATTTCTTGGATGTAGTATCTAATTTGTTACTCTGCTCCTTAGGTATAAGAGTATAAGCGGTACAATCAAAAATTCTCAAACTGCTATAATCTGCCATCCGTTTATGTCTCAATTCAAACGGTGTTAAGAAATTGATTGCACTAGAATGAGAAAGGTTTATCAAATAAATTGCGGTGTTGACAGCTTCGGCCCAAAATTCCCCTGGTAAACCGGATTCGCCTAGCATACTCCGCAATTTCTCCAACACTGTTCAATTGAGTCGCTCAGAAACAACATTTTGTTGTGAAGTATAAACCGTCGTGAAATGGCGAGTAATTTGAAATAATTTATTTTGTTTCAATGTAAAAAAATTAAAAATTTAAATTTTGTTTACTAATAAAAAAATCTTAAAAATTTAGCTAATTATGTGTTGCAAACAATGGAAAGTAAGGTTGAACTAGTTCATATGAATCTAACATCAAAATTGAATAATACTTGTTTTATAAACCATATTAAGAAGTAAAAGTACAGAATTTTGTAAAAAAAATTACAAAATCATGAGATTTATCATAAAAAAATTGATGAAATTTTCATACATAATTTTCTTTTGGAGAAAGTCTTGAAAAAGTATAACAATGTACTATAAAGGAAAAATTAAGAAACTAAGATACCAATTAATTAGATGAACTATTTTAATACACATAACTCATAATCAGGTATGGTTATACTAGTAGGTTGTCCAAATCAACTAAATATGCTTAAGTAACTCGCATCCAAAAAATTTATTTAGGTAATTCAGACCCTTTTGTGCTTAAACCCGCCTTAAGTGCATTTGAAAGCAAATGAAGGGTTAGGAGAGAAAGCCATCATCACTCGTGGGTTGCAATCCGTTTGTGAATCTAGAGAAAAATCAATTTATAAACTCCGGTTTATGAAATCGGTGAGTTATGAGACTGTCATGGTTACAATTTGCTTAACAATCATCCCACCTTATAAGCTAAGATCTCTCACGCTTCAATTCTAAGCTTTAAGTCTAGATGCTCAAGTCAATTTAGACGCTAGAGGGAGCGTCAAATTAAGTAATTTAGGCGCCTCGGTAGCCTAAAACGATCATGCATGCTCATAATCAATTCCCTTGAAGATTATCAGATGTTGATAAAATAACTATAACATAATAAAAATATTTTTAAAATTCAAAAAATGTAAAGTTATTCTCATTGATATTCATATCTACATACATTTTAAACATCATTTGAGATTTATTGCAAGATTAGAAAAAAATAAAATGTAGATTTGATACTATTATGTCAAAATGAACAAAAAATTTGAATATACAAAAAATCACTAATTTGAACATTTAAAGCCAAATAATCAAAGTAAAAAATAACATTATAATTAACAAAATCATCAATCAACATTGTTTTTTAATTGAAAACCAATGAATTTAAAATATGATTCTTATACACAATCAATTCTAACAATTTTTTTCAACTTATATGATAGAAATCTGAAAAATTTAAGTACATTTTTAAAATAAAATCCTTGACTTCCATTTAAATATGTCTCCATAATTTTTTCATGTTTTGAAACAAATTAAATATATATGTATTTTTTTATTAAATTTTGGTATAATGTAATATACACAAAAAGTGGTATTTAACCTTTTGTAAATCACCTCATAAAAAATATCTTCTCAACTTGTACTTTATTAAAAATTATGTAAATACTGCAAGATTTTCAAATCTTTTGAAAATCTTTGAAAATTAAAGTTGACATATGTAATAACATAATATAGACAAAACATAAAAATGAATCAAATTTGAAATACATCATATATACATAACATATTAAAATATTTAAAGATTTGAATATATTTGTTATGCAATTTTTGCAATATTTATGATAGCATTTACATAAGTATGTATTTTAATTTAAAATTTAGAAAATATGCATATTTATTTATTTAAATTTTAGAAATATAAAATATGTTTGAAAATGATACAAAGTCAATAATAAGTATAAATATAAATAATATATCTAACATAATTTTCTTAAATGACTTCAGTGTTCTAAAGTTATTCTTATTTATGGTTTAGTCATTTAATCTTGATGAACATTCTAATACTCGAACAATCAATTGTTATCAGAAGATTACTTTAAAATAAGAATTGCTGCATATTCAAAAAGTTATTGATTTAAATACTTGATTTTAGATTACAAAGATTGAGATTGATCGTGTTGTTATCATGAAATTATGTTCAAATTTGATCATAATGTGACTATGTGATTTCAGTGTTTTATTCAAAATAAAAAATGCTGGTAACTTTATGAGGATGATTTAATATCTATGTACTGATTTTATTAGTTTTGAAATTTTGAATTTAATCTATTCAGTATTTTATCAAAAACTATAAAATAAGCATTATTGAGTGCTTGAATGTTTATTTTAGATATTTTGTTATGGGATGAATCATCACATGAAAAATTTCTTTAATAGAAATATATTTATACATTGTGTATAATCATTTGATATTTTAAAATTAATCATTTAAGCAAAGAAAAAAAGTATTTAAGCATAATTAACCAGGAATATGTGTGTTCATGTGAATCTAATGGTTTAGATTTATCAAATTTTCATTTACACTGTAGAATATAAATTAATGAAAATAATTGAGATATTTTTTAATAAAATTATGATATTTTTTCCACAAAATTTAATCTTTATAATTGATATAAATTTATGAAAATCAAAATGTTATATTATTTAAATTTCAAATAATGAATGTTTCGAAGATGATCATATTTTTTGAAAGTAACAATTAGTTTTTGAAATATTTAATTGTGCTTCAATCTTTTGAATTGAAGTTTCAATGATCACAATATATTGTCATAGATCAAGAGTATTCAAAATTTAGAATTCAACCCGCGTGAACTATAGATGATGAAATTTGAATTCAACATTGAATATTTTATTGTACAGATTCAGTTTAGATTCATGACTTAATGGATGATTTTTTCTATAACTATAATAATGAACTAAACATATGTATGATATATTATCATTATTATTATTATTATTATTCACATACATACATGATTCTGAAAATAAGAAATTGAGAAATAGACATGAATTTAATGTTAATAAACTAGGTATAAAGATATCATAGCTTATTATATTCAATTTACTAAAATAAAAGGCTGAGATTTGAATACAGTATCATAGCGAAATAAATCAAATTATTCTCAAGGACTCATTTTGGGTAACATCGATATTTAGGAAAATGAATTGAATTGAATTGTGTAATTTTCAAAATTTGGAAACACTTGTATATCTTTATTCCCCTTTCACTTGTGTTTTCTTATTTGGCATCTTGTGATTTCAAATTTGAATATACATAACACATAATTGTCTTTGATGTGTATGCAGATAAGTAGGAGAAATGGAGTACAACTAAATAAATCTCGAAATCAAGAAACAAAGCTATCATTTACATAAACACATCAAGTCATACCGGGACGTGGGAGTGACGCAAAATTAATTCATTTGAATGTACAACAATTAATATAATCTCTTTACCTGCACGGCCAAAATGCAGAAATTTTGAATGGTTGCATTTTTATCACGGTGCATTTGGGTGAAATGCTGCCCCACATGATGATAAAATACAAACAACTAGTCAAATACGAATATCATTTCATGAAAATACAAGAGTAAGTACCAAAATATATAAATTGGCGACAAAATGGCGAGCATCCACAAGTCAACAGTTGACACCTTCATAAACATCGAGCTCAAACGAAAGAAGATTTATTTAAAAACGATATACCTCATGATACCTCACGGTAGGGAATGTGTCATTCACATACAAATCAAACTAAGGAGAAGATATAAAAAACATATTTCCATCAAATAACATTGAGTTTCCAATCATATCGTAAATCTTAGAAAGGTTCTGGGTTGTCAACTTCGGGGGATCGGTCAAATTGAATGATAAATTGTTGGCACGGAAGGTCGCCAACTGCTCCCGAGAAGTGCTGGGGTGTTTTATCAGCTGGAGAGTTTTTGGTGTTGTCCTGAAACAGAACTTCTCCTGGCTGAAATTCGTACCGACTCCCGTCGGTTGTTTCGATGTACCTGAACAATATAGTAGAGGAAACGATAATGACTTGCTCTCTGAAGCCTAAACGTGACTAGAAATATTGTACACTAAAAACTGATACAAAATTTATCCTATTCGACAAAATAGTTATGGAAGACATGGGACATTTGGTGACTTTTGATCAGCTCTACTATCAGGCTAACTGAGCTTAAAGCAGCACTTCATACACCATTAGATTGATGGGCTAAATTGAGCTATTGCAGACTAGTAGTAGCAGAACGTTGCTCCAGCTGAAGATTCAATACATGGGGAACTTTAGAAAATGAGTATGCAAAACTACTTCATCATTGAATTGTAGATTCAATATCCTGATAATGCATGTCCTACAGAACCTCTTCCTTCCTTCACGTGCTCATCAATGTGCGCGATTTTCGCTATCTTTCTTTCCATAGCAGCACAGAGATAAACAGAAGACATTGTGAAATCATCCGGCTCAATGAAATTCTGAGTTTCTACTTCTGCATGTTCAGACAGTACACACAGCGTACATCTTCATGAAAGGCCTCTATCCATAGAAAACCTTTACCTTTCCCACTGCCGTTACTGAGAAGTGCTGTGAACATAATTTGAACTGAGAATTACAAAGTCACATTAAGAAGTGGCCATCGGACTTACCAAGAACCCGAGAGGGTAATAACGAATTGGACCTCGGGACAGGGGTGAAGTGGCTGGCGCAATCCTGCTGATAACTCAGTGAATATAATTTTCTGGGGCTGGCCACCGAAGTCGGTTTTCACAAACTGCAATTCAGAACTATATTTCTGCAGATCAAAACCTTTCATCTTGCATTCCTTAATGTGGGTCTCTCCATCTTGCGAAGCCCACAATTGCATGTACTTGAAGCTCTTGGGATCTTCGCTCGAATCGGCCATGCTTGTTGTTGCGTTGAAAACTGGAACTAGAGGGCAAAAAATGCGCCTTCGTATAGTGACCCTTGCAATTCCTTCTCCGCTCCGAGGCTCTTGTACTCTGCACTGACCACCCCAACTGTGAGAAGCTGTCCGTGTTGAAAACGTGTAGATATGTTTGGGAAGAGACGAGGGGTGCCATATACGCGTGCTTGTTAGGATATGGATTGATACCATAGCTGACCGAAACGGCCAGTCCTGTGCACGTTTCACAAAATCAGCAACTATGGCAGTTCGATGCAAGCAAAGTAAAGGTAATGCAACAATTTATCCATTTAGTATTCCCTTTTTCTTTAAACTATCGAACGCGATAAGTGTTTCTCACCAGTGACAGAATCATTTACCTGCCAACTGCACCACCCTGTGCTAAGGACAGATATGCAGTGGTTGTCCGTTCTTGAGGCTAATCATCATCCTTACTTTGGGAAATGCTGCAAATCCAGACTTACCTGTCCCCTGATCGTAGTGGTTCGACTGTACGGGTCCTGATGCAGTTGAAGGCGTAAACACTCTTGGAAATAGTGCGACGAGAAGGATCTCTGTCTACGATAAGACTGCAAGTCTGCCTCTTGTTGTAAGGCTCTCGAAAGACATTTGCTTCGTGTCCCGTAAAGTGACAAGAACAGTCCAGGTGGACATGCTACTAGGCCCCACATGGTACCCGCTGAGCCTCACAAAAGTGGCAAACGAAGCTACGTACCAGAGTACATTCACCTCTGCAAATGTGGACAGAGTAGGTCGCATCATTCACACCACATAACATGACTATTGTCTATTCGAGGTGTTATTTTGTAGTGAGCGGTGCAGTACATACAATAGGGCTTCGCAGCAACCTCTTAGAGCCTCCCTTTCGCTTTTGTCCGGTAGGTTGGTTCAGGTCTTCTTGACATTCTGTATGTTTTGCAACCCAGGTTTTCGCTGCAAAACATTGGTTGATTGTAATTGTTCATAGCAGAGCTTCAATTTGTACTAATCACTTTGACACTCTTGGGACTTATCATAAGGAAATGAGCATGAGGCCCAAACAACGATATCTTTATATGCAACCGCCTACTACGATTTCCAAAGTTATAACTCCCAGAATAGCCATATTTTATTACCTAAATTAGAAAGAGCCCTTATTGAAGATGTTCATAAGATCGTCTTTCAAACACCTCGGAAGGAATAGTAAAATTTCTCATCTAACGATCGACGAATCTGCTATCCACACACACAGCAGAGAACTTTCTCCGGATATGATGTCGGTAGAAGCTCCCGTGGTCGTTTTTCTTGTACTTCAGTCCAAGTTGAGCAATTCCACCATGCGATCGTGGATAATGCCTCCATTAGAAGCTAGAATCGGCCCACCCAGTAAAGTTTGAGGCTTTCCTTCCAAATCAGTCACGCGACCACCAGCTTCCTGAGGACATACACAAAGGAACAAATATCAAAGAGTTGGGAACCTGGCAATGAACTTCCAAAGGTCAGTCAGCTATGTTCTCTGCTCCCAGATATATGCCTGTAAAATGATTGGCAGCTCATTCCTTCTCAAATTCGAACATAAAATTGAAATTATCAATGAGGTTCAGTGCCACCATCCTGCAGAAGATGGTCAACATCAGCATTTGATGTGGATTCCATGTCTTCTATCATGTATCTCAACTCCCAGCTCTTTGAAGTAGAATGGGCTTTATAATAATCTCAATCCAACCTCCTCCAAAACGATCTGTTATTACCCATTGTCTTGGAAGAGGCATGATGATGTCGCTATCCACAAGCTTTGAGAACTCTTCTTGGCAAAGAATGCTCTAATAGAACTAAAAAATTGTACTTTTTGACTTGAAGTTAATTCAGATTCTGTTCTGATTCACAAATAGCTAATAAATCCATCTACAGACGAAAAACTATATTGGTCACAAAAAATCTGTTTCAAAAGCTGATAAGTTTGGTGACACTATTGTGGTGAAGTTGTTATATTTCTTATTCGTTAAGTAATCTCTGATGCAACCGGAATTCTGAAGCTTGTGGATAGTGACAACACCATGTCCATATCAAAACAAACTCTTGATAAGAAAAAGTATAACTGCCTCGCGGTACCAGAAAGGATGATTGCCAGGATGTTATCCAAATTGATTAGCTCCAAGAGACCATGAGATTACATTCTGGTTGAAAAATTGAAACTCACGGCAGAGTATCTGCAACAGCCTAAAGACACAACACTTAGGACAAACCTTACCTAACTGCATGATAAACTTCTCAATAGGCAATAACTCGGGAAATCAAATAGACCTGTAAAGCTCAGGATTGCTGTAAACGTCTCAAAACAACAACAAAGAGAGTGGTCCCTCTCTGGACATTGAACATCATTTGGACATTTTTGCCTTTGAGCAGTTAGAGAAGAATTAGCATGTTTATATCATAAGTTCATTACAATTTTTCTGAGTTGAAAAGAATTGAGAACGACTTACCTCAATTATCAACCATCCTGCTGCATAATCCCATGGCTGTCCATACAACCACATACTTTTCAGCTCACACGATAAATTCATGCAGTGGACTTGAAATACGAATTGACTTTCAAAGTGCACACTCGAGCAATTAGTCTCTCAATTCCTCTCCCTGGACTAAACAGCCGTGGACTCCAGTGAATAATACAAATATTTTTCCAACCTAAAAAATTATGTTAATTTCGACCAGCGTCTAACCACATACACTTGTCTATATGTTATTTACTAAACCAGAAACATATATGATTTGGAAAATATAATGAGAAAATATAGGAAAAGGCACCTTCAAATCATTTTCAAAGAAGCATCCAAACCGCCCGGCTGCTACATAGCTCATGTGCAAAGCCTGTAAGTAATATACAACATTTGTATTGAATTTTGAGTAAGTCTCTCTTCTAGAAACTTTCAAGCTTAGGCCAAGTCTAGAAAAACCCAATGAGATGATCAAGCAAATCGAGTCTACTCTTGCTCACGACAAGTAATAAACATCAATAACTGGAACACAATACTTCGTTGTGAAAAGTTACCGCAGAGCCCAATGCTTTGAGAGAACGGCAGTGTAGAGCAACTTTGGTTACATCTTTCAGCATTGCAACGCGCTTATCCGGCTGCCAATTGAACAACCCGGTACATTAATACTGCAATCTTGGAACGCGAGAAGTTAAATTCAGAAGTAAAAGTTAAGTTGCCAATACTAAATTGCAAGATAAATGTACCTAAAGGGAGACATCTAGGTCAGTAAAGATTAAAACCTTGGATGGGATTCCAAAAGTGACTGTAGTATCCTCAAGTTCAGTTTCAGGAAGTAAAACTTTGATAGGATTGCCATTCAAAAAAGCACCTGTTTGACACAAAAACTTTCAGAAGTTATGTCATCTTACTCGGTAATTACAAGTAGGATTGACGGTGTGCTAATCTAACTGGCATGCTTTACTGGAGAACCAAACTTTCGATCAGAGCACTGCAACCAGAAGGATAGACTTATTTCTCAACGTAACCATGTAAGCTCAGAACAGATTATACTTTGATTTCAAAGGGAGAGAGGGTAGACCTTGGCCTCTTCTAGCGTGAAAGAGTTCATCGTGGTAAGGATTGTAGATGACTCCTATTTCCATCGAGTTCCTATATGCAATTCCGATGGATACCACTGATAGCGGCACTCCATCGACCTTTCAGAACACCATCATGTTAGAGAAAGGGTAGCGATCGCAAATCAAATGGGGGAACCACTACGACAATGCTACCAGTTATAGTTGGATAGACAAATATCCTCGTTGAACGTTTAGGAAGAGGATAGATGCCTATACTGTCTTTCAAGAAAATTCAGTGTTTAAGAATCATGTTCAAATTAAACAATAGTAAGCGACAATACAGCCTAAAGATGAAATCACTGCAGAAAGCGTCTACCACACATGCTGATACGAATCAGAAAAATCTTCTTCGATACTTACGAAACTGAGTGTCCCATCGATAGGATCTACAATCCACGTCCAAGGAGCAGACAGAGAATTTGTGACCAATTTTTTCAACTCAAGTTCCGTGGCAGTTTCTTCCCCAACCCAGTCATGCTCAGGGAAAACATTCTGCAGAAAACCAGACAATTGAAGAATGAAAGAACCCCAAGAGTCTACATACACACATTTGCATTTGTGTATACCTTGTGTACATAAGCATACATCTGCAAAACTTTGGATTACAGACTGCGACATGACCAAAGAAAGAAAGTAGCATGTTAGCATCCCTTTATTCAATCTGGGGCTAAGTTGGCTTTATGAAGAGAAGCAAGAATGAACCGCCGAGGGCAGCGATAAACAAGAATATTATTAATGAACTTCTCATTGCGTTGTTCCCCGCACCATCACACTCTTCGACTGTTCTGTATTACAAACCAGCAGAGGAGGAAAATTTGATCCTGATTAGAGGTGGAGGAGAACATACCCGGACTTCACATTTCAAAAGTCGTTCGCATGCCTTGTCCACCTCAGTGACCAAATCATACCTCACTTCCTTCGTGTCAACCTGTACAGTATAAAACCATTTCAGTTTTGATGTCCTTAGAAGGTTCAGAGAGAGAGAGTACTTCTGTCACTTAGTATTATAATATTGGTGCATGTTCTTTCGACAACATGATCAGTCCTACATGCTCGATTGTGGCATATATGAATGTGAAGAAAGAATTTGTCACATATAGAAGCATCACTTGATTGCAGTAGGAAGAAAGTAGACAGATTAATTCTTCAGCCGGAAACTTCAGAAGTTAGTCTCTGCACTCTCACTCCGGTTCAGGATGGACGTCGGTCGAGCCCGTTGGAAATAGCTTTGCTAAACGCATGCATATTCCAACAGGAGAGCAAAAACAACGAATCCGCTGCTGACGGCGGTGAGAGAGTGCTAAGTACAAACTTAAAATATATCTTTGTACTTGGAGCCAGACTCTGATTTCAGTCGTCACTTGAATTGTAATTGCCCACCTGTAAGGCTTTCCCTGACTTCTCGCGTATCAAAGCGCCCGCCTGTGAAGAGAAGCGAGCCGGCGAGAGAGTTAATCAAGAACAAAGCCACCTTCCTTACTCTCTTCAGAGGCATTCAATGCAGATCAAAACTCTACAGGAAAGGATTCTCGCTTCTCAAGTAAAGCATATCCGGATGAAGACCTGCAGCCAGGAAGGACCGACGAGGCAGATCAGGGGCTTCTATAACACATACAAAAAAATTGGTCGTCGGAAATGACGCTACAGATTGATTGGATGATGACGATGTTGGCCAATTGGGAGCTACAGGCGGCCAACGTTAGTCCACACCTGTTTCGCGAGCTTAAGAGCCAATGTCTCCACTTGAGTCGCCACGGCCTCGAAGTGGACGGACCGACGATGCTCGGGACTCAGAGATGCACGGAGGCATCGATCTGCAGGAACTCTTGTACCTTCCAACCTGATTTTCCATCGCCCCCTTCCGCTTACCGGACAAGGGCCAAATTGATAAGGCAAGATCCGCGTACGCAATCTCATCGCACCCTCAAGCACCAATCCTCCACTATAGTGGCATCCCATCATCCGCTGTGCTCTGCTCGTTTCCACTCTTCTCCACTCAGACCGCAATCTTTTAAAATTATTTTCCTCCTCCTCTCGCTCTCCTCCCTCAATTCTCCTTACCCACCACCACCACCACCACCCAACACCCAATCCACCGATATTTGTATTTTGCGTGTTCAGTCCAAATGCGCATTCACCACCATCCGGTTTCGTGTCTGGCGTCTTCTCTGAGCTTGCTTGCTTGCTTGCTTGCTTGCTGCTCGCTTCCTTGCTTGCTGGTTGCTGGATGCTGGTGGCCCAATTCTCCTCTCCTCTGTTTAAACTCTCTTCTCCCGCAGACAAGAAACGAGCAGCTGGAGTCCACGGACTGGGAACGTATCGTACGACACATCCGTATACGCTTTACTGTCTTGTCTGGATACGGTATCGTCTGATTTGGACGGCCGTATGAGTCGGACCTGTCTGGCGACTCTGGCCATCATGAGGAAATATACTCTCCTTGCAGCGATACACTTCAAAAGCTGGGACTCTAGTCGGGAGTAGAGACAGATTTCCACTTTTTCACATCACTCAAAGCCTTGCGCATTCTATTATTTGTACAACTTAGTAGTTCCCTTTGACAAATGAGTACACATAGAAATTGCCAAAAGTATAGAAACATTTTCATTGAATATATCATTTAGTAAAAAATCACTCAAGCTATGCACAAATAATAAGAGATTTTTGAAATTATCGATGAATTCAATTGTTGTAAAATCAACGGTAATTCAAAAATGCGGAGATAATACGTCGTGTCCGTTATACATCATATGATAATACTTCGTATAATTTATCATGACATGTCTATATTTGCATATATTTCTAAAAACAAGAGTTATGAGAAAAATCAAGATATGCAAATACATCGTTTTCTTGAGACGTGGCTTGAGGAGGTTATACTGGACAACCTTCCAAGAGTTTCGATGTCACAGGTAAAATAAGTAATCACCAAATTTGAGATATCAAAACCGGTCCTCTCGAACCATACCGTACCATACATTCTCCTTCGTCGTACGTACGTCTCTCCCTGAACTCTTGTCTGGTTAGGACGAGAAGGGGCCACAAACGACTAAACGTGGCTTTCCTGTATTTTCATGATGCTGCTCTCGCTAGTACATCCACGACATTGCTCGTCATCCCCTGAATTTACAGCCCTTGGGGCTAATTTCGAAGCGCTTCAACGGGCGACTGTTCACGGATGCATATGGAAAACGAGGTTATCCTGTGCCTGTGAGCACTCCAGAAGCAAGATGCGCCATCCATGGCTGATCAAGTGGCTCGAATTTCAATGCATTCCCTTGCAAGTCAATGTGATCTTGTCCATGCACTTGCCAATCTTGTTTGCTCGACCAATGGTCTGGGCTAGGACCGTAGCTGGTGCCATAATGACCAACAAGGGAAGTTTTGATTCAGTTGTAAAAGGGAACCTAGGTTACACAGTGGGAAACATATTTTTTTACTCGCACCATGCAGCCTTTAACATTGGTTGTACCGCTGGTAATAGTTGCTCATCTTGTTTGATGTCGTTGCGTTTAATGGCCATGCAGCCTAACCAAGATTTAACTTGCTAACACGCAGAAACCAAGATATTTGTAATAGCTGCAATATAACACAGCCATGGAACAGAGAAGCGAGACACAAAAATAAATGAAAGCATCAATCCAAATTGCCCAAAAATAATGGATCGGCTCTTCCCTCCTCGCTTTTGGAGTTTCTAGCATTCGAAAGTTCTTATCGTCCTTCAAAAAGTCCTTATCCTTTTCCTCCATTGTTGTTTAATTCTTTCTTCAGGTATTTTATTTGCTGGTCTTTAGGTAGACAAACAGCCTTACAGTTTTTGCCCCTGGCTTGGAAGCACAGTTGTCTGGCAAGAAACAGATTCCGTGTCCGATTCCAAATTGCGGAAACTGTACATGATGATGGGCGCTGGACCCGGGTCCCTCTGCCGCGTGGCAACGCACCGGGCCGGGGGCCTGTAGAAGCACAGAACTCCGGCCGAAAACATGTCCGAAGAAAGAAAGAAGGCTCTATTTCAGGAATGGTCTCCGCGGTGTTTCAGACCTGACTCCAGACGTGCCCTTACAGAGACCTATTTAGTGAGAATTTTACTTAAAAGCTCACTCCCACGATTTACTTTAAAAAATGACACCATAGTCTTCAATCTATCTACTCTCATTCACTGTATTTTACAAAAGTTGAATCGTGTTGAGATAGGATTGAAGCAAAATGCTATAAGAAGTGGAAATAGTAAGGAACAAGAACATTTATGTCATCTACTTTTTGCACATTGACCAGAACTTTATCACACGTGAAGATTGGTTGTCAGCTTGTTTCTCCGACGATTGAATGCTTATCATTACAATGTTACTATTTTATATCCATTCGTGCTTGCATACTTTGGTAGGATCTTATGAAGGGATCTTAGAATTACCCCCATGCTTGATCACGAGTTATAGTCTATCCAAAGATATTTAGACCCATTTATATGCTATGAGAATCCACATTTACCTGGATCCTTTATTGGACAGAATCCTATGCGATTCCCAACATTCGATTTAAGTTGCTTCAATTACTCCCAAAATTATGTTTTGGGTTCATATAATGATAAAGTAGATCTCAAGTTGCATCCTTAGACGGTGATTGCAAACATATCTTCATACTTTTTTGTGGATTGTGCATATATCAATCTATAGTTACATATTGAACGCAGATCTTTATCTGCTTGTTTAAGTAATATGCACGAGTTTAAGATCGAACATAGACAATAATGATACTTGCATCATAATATGATACTAGTTAGGGGGTTCTTTTGGTTCTCTCTTTGTTTGGAGTTGGATTCTTTGTATTGTGTTTTTTAGCCTTTTGACCCTCTGGGTCCCACGGGCTTGATCTATTTACCATTTACCATAATTGTCAGTGTTCAATAGTATCCTTAGAGGCTAACTTGAAGCACATCTTTAGATTTCAAAATCCAGAGGGCACAAGCATATTCAAATTTTAAAAATCCATGTAAAATGACATTATTTTTTAATGTTTTCTTGTATTTAGAATTTGAATGGATTTGTATCTTTAAAAGGATAGTTTATTTTCTTAAAATTTTATAATTTTGAAGTCTAATAATATTATCAATCAAACTCAATACTTAATAAATTGAGGATTATCAGATATATCATAATTTCACTCATTCCATGTATCACTTAAGCTGAAACTCTAAATCGCTCACAATAAGTGAGCGGTCCAACGATAAACCTTAAGACTCATCCATACACATAAGAACCTACGAGACGAGATCTTGCTGGGATTGATAGGTAGCTTTTTCAGGGATTAATCAGCCATCTGTGATGTAGATAGATAGCCTTTCTACGTTACCGTTTTTATCCTCATAAGGTTCACTGTCCTTCAGATATACTCCTTGGAAGCGGCGGAAGACTCCCCTAGCTCGCATATTAGACAGCTAGGGGAGTCTTCCATACGCCAGAGACTTTTGAATGCTCTGTGCATTCGCTCCAAACAAAAAGACTTATTATCGCAACTTAAAACTGCATCTAGTTACTTACAATCATCACTATTGACCTGAAACCCGACCTTTGGCTTCCCAGCTTGATTATTTAACAAAATTCGACGGTACATTTATTCTGGGCAATCACAATAAGTCCTTTCACTGTTAGATCATAAGCCAGAAATTGGTCTCATCAATCGTTTGGAATTTAGTATCAGAATACTCCAGCAAGCCTGTTCCATCTCTTTGTAATTTACAATCATGATTGTGATATGACATAATAAATGCACGTTCAAGTACAATTTCATTTTGCTCATATATTTCAAACTAAAAAAATTGCAGAAATAAGTAACCAAATATATTTGGATAAATATTATTTTGAATTGATCTACTTTACTTTTTCTTTGTAAAAATTTTTAAAATTTGAATTTTTATCATTATTTTGAATATTTAATAATTAACAATCCTTATATGGTATCGCATGATCGTATTTTTACTCTGAAATTGCCCAAGCAGCTCACGATAGAGTGTGAGTAGAACTTTTTAAAATAACCTTGTTCAATTCTTTGTTTTTTGCTTCTGGATATAAAAACTCTGCTATACACATTTTGTGACAGTTGATGATAGAACAATCTACTTCCTATCAAAAATTACAAAATATTGCACCTTGTACTTGAAATCTCTTGAAAAAAAACTCAATTCTAAATGTTTTGGCTTGAATTTGATTGTGTATAAAATCACATGAAAAAAATCTTTAATTCTATATAGATTACTGTGCATTAAAATCATGGAAAAAGAAATCTTATAAAATCTAATAAAGAAATTTTTTTAATGTTCTAGATAGCAATACTATTTTGCAAAGATTGAAATTATTCAATTCCACAATGAGATTGATTATATTGTAAATTTTATACTAAATGTAAGATATTTTCTATTGAGTAAAAGTTTTCCGCAAACTATATTTACGAGGCCTTCACTAGTTAATCATGGTCAAAATAAGTATAATAAGTAAGACTTAAAATGAGTTGAAGTGAATTAATATCTCTTTTTTTTAAAGAATATACGTTGAAATGTATTTATAAACTAATATTAAATACTAAATGAATGATTCATAAAATTAGAATTATAGTATAACAAGGAAAATAATGATCATGATAAAAATTAAAATTACATAGAATTTGAATATAAACCTATTAGAAAAAACGTGTAAAATAATTTATAAAAAAATCACATCTATATAATATAAAAAAATTCTTAATTTTAAAATAAAGATAAAGATTTAAGATTTAAAGTGTGATTTGGAATATTTCTTATCATCATTAAAAAAATGTATAGTGAATGTATTTGATTTATAATATTATCCTTTAATGATTACTTATATCAAATCAGTTATAAATTCAATGAAACTGTGTGAAAAGCTCAAATATATGAACAAAAAAATGATTAAATTGTGTATATTTAAATATAATTCTTTTAAAAATTACTTCTCAATGAAAATATCATAACCTTAAAATTGTATATTGTTGTATATATAAATTTCGAGCATTAATTGTGATAATTTGATAAATTTTCAGAGACTTTTTTCAAGATGAATCTAAATTATTTTAATATATAATAAAAATATAACTAGGTTTAGTGATAATTTCAAACTAATTGTTCAATGATTGCATCATTATGTACATTATTAAGGGGTCTTTTTTTATGTTATTCAAATAATAAATGTGACTTCATTATTTTCCTTAATACCTATTTAAAACTAAACATCTTGTCTATAGATTTTATAAGACATATATCTCATTTTAAGAAGATTAAAATTTTAAAAAATTTAAAATGTTAATTTTTTAAGGAAAATT